TGGAACGCGACTACCTAACTGTAATAAGAAAATAAGAAAAACAATTGACTATTCTGTGAACAGTTTCCGTGAAACGAGAAAAAGAGTATTTTTACGACGAAAAAAATGTATATCTCTAAGGGTGGTTACAGTTAAATGATTCTTTTATGGGGAAGGTAAACGATTCTTTCATGGGGGAACTGTAAACGTTTTTACAATAAGATTCCGGAGAATATATTAAGATTATCATTCCTAAGTTTAAACCTTACATTAAAAGTATTTTATCAGAAAAGTCATATTACAAAATTGAAGAGTATAGATAAAGAGGTATGGAAAGACAACAAGAGTCTAGATTTCACACAATTATGAATCAAAGTGTATTCCGTAGCATTTAAGTTTATTTGAAAAGAGCAATCCCTAGAGTCTTGCTCGTTCTTCTCAGGGAGGTCAGCGTAGCGTACGAGCAGTAGCTTAAAAAATGACGTGTAAAAATTGTAATGATATCAAATTATTTGCCTTTGGACTTACACACGGTGACTTTTAGAACTTATCAGATTTTGAATGACTTTATTATTTTTGTAAAAACAAATATAAGCAAGAGATTTAGAGACCAAAGGATAGGCTTCCTTAAGACCTCTGCGTGGCAGTCCGACATGGTAACCGTTCGGCCACGGAAGCAGTTACGATTGACTGGTGAAAGTCAAAGACAAATGATCATTTTTTTTATATTCTCATTATATAACCAGAAACCGAAAGGGTAGTTTCATTTCCAGAATTGTGTCAGGTTCTGTAGTAGGCTAATTTGCCTGGGGCAGTTCATTTCTTGAGCTAGTAAAACTTGTCCTGCCAATGAGTATTCATATTTAACAATCCGATTATAGGAAAATGCTCACTTTGGAACCGCATTAAGACCGTAACGCAAACGACAAATAGTCAAATACGACCGTCGGTCTGGAAAGTGATTTTATATTAATGGATAGTTGGTATATATCGAGTATACATATAACCAGAAATAGAGACGAAATAAGGGCCATCACTCCCTGGCAACACGTCAGTCAAATGGTACTGATATCACTTTTAAACATTGACTTACAATTATATGGACGTCGGGTCCGCGCTAAAAAGTGTCCGAACTTATAGGGCGTTAAAATCGTATACAGAGCGTCATTCACGCTTTAGTCTTCGTTTGTTCGACTGACAGCGAAGCAAGCAAAATTAGACAGTACTGCGATGACGTTACAATTTCAATTCAATGTTTTAGCTTTTTCATATTCCTTTACATGTCACTACGTTTAAATAGGTTGACTTGGGACATTTTTTTCGTGGTTTTTGTATTAGACCCGTCGTCTATTTATTTGTAAGTCAATGCTTTTAAACATCAATTCTCGTTCGCGCTGAAATCGCAAATTAGAAAACTGAAACAGTACAGCGCCAACAACTGACCTGTGTGTACGTCTCCGCGTATTCCAAAAATATTCTGTATTTATTGTTTCTGTTTATTTCTTTAAGAAAAATAAACTTTAATGGAATTGCTTGCTTCAGTAGTGACAGCCTTTTCTAGTTCTAGTTCCCTTTACTAATGTCTCGGAAGAGCTACTGCTCTTGAAATACTTTTCATACATTCAATTCTCGTAATGACTCCTGACAAGTGCAGTATTTTATATATATTCAATTTATGTAATATATTCGTAACTAGTGCAGTATCGGCGGGTAACCGATGGATTCACGTCGCGTCCGATCGGCTGGTCTGGAAATCTTTGGGGGAGGCCTATGTTCAGCAGTGGACGTCTTCCGGCTGATATGTTGATGATGAAGTGCTGTATTTCATATATATTTCATATACATTCATGTAATAATCCGTGACAAGTGTAGTATATTTTATATACAGTCATGTAATAGTTCCTATTAGTAATTTTTCTAATTGTTTTTAGTTAATATTTAAGTTGCATTTTATAATTTTAGTGTTTATCACACTTTGTAAAAGCGGTTCCAACTGAAAGCCAGCGTTACAGCAGGCGAGCACAATTTTACACATATGCTGAGTTGTATCCGTTTCAGCTTATAGGTATATGTAATAATTAATGTGAATTATCTGTTTATCTTGAATTATCTTAAGCTGAATAAACGTTTCTTTGTTTCTTATTGTAATAAAGATTATATTTAACTGTTCCATTCGGTGTGGGAAAAACAGCAAAACATCTAATTACAAAAGAAACGGAATCACATTTAATCGGTAATTACATATTAAATATGTAATTTTTCAATTTTCGTCATTATAGCAAAGTTCAAGTTACACCGGTCGTTTTGAAGTCAAACATTTGACGACACCCGTCAATTGTTTTCAATTCGGGCTGCCCAATTGGAGCGCAGTTGTCACCGTAATGATATCGCAGAATAGTTTTCAAACAAATTAAATGACTGACTATTTCTGGTGGTCCATTATAATGGATACATATTTTTCAAATGGCTTTAACATCGTTTGTAAAAAAATAAAGTCTGAAATAAAGCCAGTGTACTGTGACGCCGCTCGACCCAAGCAAAACGAACCGTATTAGTACGGGACAAAGTTGTATTCGACCTGGACCTTACGGCACGTGTGGGGCGGACCCTTCAGCCTCCGTTTCTGTGTTTTTTATGAATACTAGTTTTTAATTACACTATGATTTCAGGAGAAATCAGCAACGTCGCCGTCAGAAGGCACCGCTCCTTACGAAGGTTATCCCTACAGATCCCCTGGACCTCGTTACGTGGACGCGCCTTCTGTGAAGCCGGATGACGTAGTTGCATGGTCAAAGTATCTCAATTTACCTAAGAGACCTTTGAGGATCGATTCAGTGCCTTTAGGAGATGGAGCCGGAAGTTCAGTGGTAAGAAATAGAACCCTTTTTTTTTTAATATCAAGTGACAAGTCCTGCGTCTGGTGATAGGCAACACGCCTACCTTTAACATTCAAAAAATTCTAAATATACAATTTTATTTCATAAGTAAACAAAATACATTGAAACCGTCTAATCTCAAACATTATTACCTACTCATGCGTAAGGCAGATTCCCCTGAAAAAAATATAAAAGCTTCTCTTTGGAAACGAAAATTTACCTATACAGTTATCATTTACAATATATATCCAAATATTGAAAGCAAAAAGCAGCCGCGAAAAATATTACTTTTGCGCCGATATTGTGCCCATGGATTTTCGTTATTCTCGTACGCAGAAGCTGTAGGTGTAAAGTAACGTGACCATAAGTCCCTCTGTGAGCGGGACAATCTCGCTTTTGAACTTCGTTTCCCACAGTCTCCAAAAAACTTAGCAACGTCCAGTTTTGACTTTGAACAAAGGACGCACGTGCTATTAATATTCAAAAAAACAGCGCAAAAGCAACAAAAAATAGAGTCAGCTCAAGAGATGTTTTAGTCATTACACATTTTGTAATTATCATAATACATGTGTTATATTTTTAAAACAATAATAAATTTCTCTAAAAGTCTCCCAATCTATGGCAACAGGTTAAAACACACACACACACGCACAGGCGCACACATACACACACATTCAGATACCCAGTCACACACACAACAAACACACACACACACACACACACACACACACACACACACACACACACACA